GTAAAGTGAGACGAAGAACTCAGGAAAACCTACCTTAGCTCAACACCGGTGCAAAGATGAGGTTCTCATCCTGAGGTCGGCTGTGTTTAATCATGTCGGATGTGCGCCGTCCCAAGAAATTGTTGGATTCCAGGAGAATTGAACTGTTAGAACCGGTTCCGATCCATTCTGTTTCTTAATTCTCTGTATTTCCAAATGTCAAACTTTTAACTCATCCTAATGGAAAAGTATCATCAACCTCCAGAGGTCCAATAATGAAACGCCGCTCAGGATCAGAGCTGAGGGTCCGTTCCTCCCAATCACACCCCCACAGGAGTCACTCTCATTTCCAACATTCCTTCAATGCTACATTAAGGAGTATTTAAACTGAAAAAGTTCATCAGTGTTCATTACTTGTTTCCGCTGCTCTATCACCTTTTTATCTAACATAGAAAGCACATTAAACATTAGAAATAGTCATATATATAATTGAGGTGCAGACAAAAAAAAACAAACTCCATTGGACATTAGAAATTAGTTCAAGATACGTTTTGAAAAAATGAATAGAAATACAAATGGAACTGAAAAATTAATAGAAAAGTAGCAATTAAATCAAAGATTTGAGAGTAATTGTCTTTTTTTTAAAGTGACTCGGTCCAAGGTGAGGTCGATATACTCTCTAATATGCATTGTGTGTTTTTATGTTTCTTTTAGATGATAAACAGACGATTAAAGAAGAAGCTGATGAAGACCTGAGACCTTGTGCTGTTCTGCATGAGCCAGAGCTCCACCACATAAAGGAGGAAGAGGAGGAAGTCTGCACCAGTCTGCAGGGAGAGCAGTTCAGCCGTTCAGTTCAGTTTCCAGTAACTCTTCATCCCATAAAGAACGAGGATGATAAACAGTGCCCTGCATTCCCACAGCTTTATCAAGAACACATTAAAGGTAAAACGTTTCCAGGAGAGAATGATGGAGAAGGATGTGTGAGGATAAAAGATCATCAAGATGGGTCATTTTCCTTAAAAACTGAAGAGGACATAAAGCAGTCTGAGCCAAATCAACTATTAGCCTCTGGACTAAAAAACAAGGACATGGACTTTGACAGCATTAACAGACCTTCTTGCTCATCCGAGTTTGCTCAACAAGTTCTTCACAGAAGCTGTGTTCAGAAAGATATAAAGCAATCAGAAATAAGAGCTTTAAGCTCCCTGGATGGTGAGAAATGCTTTACGAAGTTTAGCTGTGAAGACTGTGGCGAAAAAGATGCCGGATTAAATAGACATACGACAATTCACACAGGAGTCAAACCTCTCTGTTGCGACCAATGTGGACATAGATTTAGCCGGAAGGGAGATTTCAACAGACACATGAGGATCCACACTGGACAGAAACCTTACTGTTGTGATCTATGTGGAAAAAGATTCGCGTATAAACAAAGTTTAAACATACACACAAGGACCCACACGGGACAGAAACCTTTCTGTTGTGCCATATGTGGACATAGATGTAGCGAGAAGGACAGCTTAAACAAACATTTGAGGATCCACACGGGACAGAAACCTTACTGTTGTGACATATGTGGGAAGAGATTTAGCCTGAAGGGGAGTTTAAACAGACACACGAGGATCCACACAGGACAGAAACCGTTCTGTTGTGATCTATGTGGAGAAAGATTTCGGCGTGAAGAAGCTTTAAATGCACACACGATGAGCCACACAGGAGAGACACCTTTCTGTTGTGCCCTATGTGGACTTACATTTAACAGGGAAGTCAATTTAAACAAACACCTGAGGAACCACGCAGGAGAGAAACCTTACTGTTGCGACCAATGTGGAAAAAGATTTAGCTTGAAGGGAAATTTAAACAGACACGCGAGGATCCACACGGGACAGAAACCTTACTGTTGCGACCAGTGTGGAAAAAGATTTCGGCATAAAGAAAGTTTAAACACACACACGAAGACCCACACGGGACAGAAACCTTTCTGTTGTGACCAGTGCGGACAAAAATTTAGCCTGAAAGGAAATTTAAATGCACACATGAGGATCCACACGGGAGAGAAACCTTTCTGTTGTGCTCTATGTGGAAAAAGATTTCGGCATAAAGAAAGTTTAAGCGCACACACGAGGACCCACACGGGACAGACACCTTTCTGTTGTGACCAGTGTGGACAAAAATTTACTCATAAAGAAAGTTTAAAGAGACACATGAAGATCCATACAGGAGAGAAATGACTCAACCTACGCAGCTGCAAGTGCTTATATATATTTGCTCCATCACCATTGAGCGCCACATTTTTCACTTCTTTTCAGAATTTTACAGGTGGATTGATCTTAGATTTAGTTCTCAACACGTGTCTTTCTTCAGTTCACTTGGAATCCAGGGGTTATTATTTGGGTATCATTTTACTGTCCTAGGGATGCTGTTATATACACAGGATTGTATATAGTCAGTCACACTCTCAGTTGCTACATTATTGTCCTCTACATGTGGCTGATAAATTGCATCCCTCAGATCTCACATTGTCCATAATGTCTGATTGAATGTCCTGTTTCTCTCTCATCCTCCTCCTTTTTTAACTCACAGGGTTCGTACGGGTGCTGGAAATCCTTGAAAATGC